ATGTGAAAAAGATTATTAATCTATTTTCCCTTTATCATCTTCTTCTTTATATGGTATCAGAGACCCTGACCCTCTGCAACCAAGGTCCATGGATAACAATTCTTCCTCCTCCTTCTCCACCACTCCTCATATCATTCAATCATCTCAAGATATTCGCAATAGAATGAAGGAGATTCAAATATCTATTCCCCTTAAATTCTTGATGCAGAACATCAAGCCCGTGACCACAACTCTTCTCACTTTCGAAAACTATCCCATATGGAGGGTACAATTTCATAAACTCTTTCTTGCCAACGGATTTGGTGCTTTTCTCGATAATAACATTCCTCCTCCCTCACAACACATTCAAGAACACATTGAAACTCTTTTTTTGAATCCTGACTATAACCGATGAGAGCTTATAGATCAAAATCTCACCACTGCCCTTCTTTCAACTATCTCCCCATCCATTCTACTACATGTTATGAACCTTCATCGCACGACTGACACATGGATCACCCTTGAAAGGAGATTTCACTCTACAAACAAACCTAGAGTGATTCAACTAAAAAATGAGTTACATCACATTCAAATGGGATCCCAATCAATGACCCAATATCTCAGATCCATTAAACAAATTGTTGACAACATTGCAGCATCTGGTTCCAAGGTTAACATAGAGGATATTATCCTCTATATTCTTAAAGGCTTACCTCCATCCTACCAAGGAATAAAGGCTGCTATCCGTGTTCAGCCCACACCAATTACACTTGAAGAATTATACACTCTCCTACACGCTGAGGAAAGCAACCTCACCGATGAATCTTTAAAACAAAACCAGGCCTCTGCCCTTCTTTCTTTCACCAATAAAAACACTAACTCCAGATCAAGATTCAACCCCAAGAATTAACCTACCGCCAAACCTTCTAGTCCTAATCCTACCCAACAACGCAAATCTCCCATTGCTTGTCAATTTTGCTACAAGAGAAGGCGTACAGTTGATTCCTGTTTGCATCGCACCAACCTGCAGTACAAACCTGCCCCTCAATCCACCACAACAGCTCTACAAACCACTAC